TACCCTACAGCTGCTTGTCGACAGCCGCAGTTTCCCCGGCACGAGTGAAAGGACACATTCATCGGGTGGCCATCGCTTAATCCATACAATCGTCGACACCGATACATCATACCATGTGAAAGCTGTTGGCGATGCCGCAGTCCGTCGATAGAATCTGTAGCAAGAGGTCTGGAAGGTTGCTGAGGGTTGAAAAGCCCAGTAGTCGAGTGTCCGGCATCGACATCCTTCGGGCATGTGACAGTGGTCCGGTTATCCGGTTGACCTCCCCGTAACGGCCGCTGCAACCACGGAGACTGGGGCACTGAACTGTCTGCGCTCCGTACCATGAGATTCTTCCACATTAAGCGCCTGCAGTACAATCGTTCGAATAGAATATTCCTCTGTCATAAGGGCATTGCTCTTCGCTTCGCAATCGCTGCCGTCCGCATTGGACTCTTAGGGTCGCGGATCGGCTGATTTCGCGACTGCGAAGACCGAGTCATGAGCAATAATCCTGGACCAAATCCAAAGTTTTTCAGGTGAAGCGTTGGGTTCCTGATGCAACTGTTTACGCGAGAAGACGAATGCAACCAACACGACTATCTAGCGCCTGTTACCCCAGATGACCAGGCAACCACATAACATAACCGCCCCACCGCCCCTCTCACCGTTCTTTCCCGAATTGGGCGATCGTACGTCCGGATCGACCGTCAAGCACTGTTTAACTCCATCGTTTTGCATTACTAGAGGATTGCCGCAGTACATGTAGACGCTACCCTGCCCTCGAATTCCGCACTGTTCAACCTCAACCCTTTTCTCACCCATCCTTTCCTCCATTCCACCCTCTCCCTCGTCAAGGGATCGCCAGAATCGCAGTTTCGACAGCTTGTTGGTAGGCTGGTGCTACTGTCTGGAGGTAGGCAACCCACGCTCGTGCGTGGGCGCCGGGAGTCTTGCCATCGCGGAGATGGCGGTGGATGTGCCGGAGCACTCGAGAGAGCTTTCTGATGGACTTCCAATGCTGTCTAAGGCCATGGTCCTCGAGCTGTAGGAGGAAGCCGAGGCGCCATATCGACACGGCCCTGTCCGTCTCGTTGGTGCTGATGATGGTCTTCTTGGCGTGAGACATGTTGCCGATGCTCTGCGGCCGCGTTGCTACGCTTCGTGGATCGTGCCCAACGTCGGCGAGGATTCTGGCGTTGCCTCTCAGTTCGTCTCTCAGTTTCTCTGTCAAGGCCGTCATCGTGGGGTTGGTTTGGTTGTTGGTATCTTGGCAAGCATTTCAACTCAACTCGGAGGCTCTTATAGCCCTTGAGGAGAGGCTTTCAAGGGACTCATAATCAGACTTTTCGCCCATCACGGGCGAAGCCATCACGGTTGAAGCCACAGCGTTGCGAACCTCGATGGCAGGCAGTCAGCAGTACAGTCATCTTTCTCTCATGGCGAGCTTGAAAAAGCATCTCAATTCAAGTGCTGGGTGGGCACTATACTGTTTTATTAAAACTGTATTCTTGTACTTGTGACTCAGAAAGAATTAACTTTCTTCGATAACAAGGTACTTAGAGGATCGACCGTCAAGAACATGCGTTCGCTTCGTCCAGGCGTGGCTACGATTCAGCGGTGGTGCAGCACTACTACGTACGGAGAAGGTGTTGTTCCCCGGTCCCTGGGACGCGTGCTCCCAACTGTTCGGAAGACGCATGCTGCGATGTATGCGATGCGCGTTGTGCAGATAGTCG